TTTTTTTTTTTTTTCCTCTTCCCAGAGCACTAATTCCTCTGTGTGGGCAAACAGCCCCTCGCCTTTGATTCTCAGTCACAGCCCCTAGATTAAATCCGGGTTTTAATGAGAGCCGTGGCTGCGGCCGCATTAGGTGATGATGGTGATGAAGACGAGCTGACCCGTTTTGATGAAGACGGGCTGACCTGTAGGGAGAGAGGGAAAGGTCAGCCACATGCAGTGGCCAGATTTCTCCTCGTCCCCGGCACATGCTGCTACAATATTGATCCGTGGAGAAAGATAAACATAAAAGCTAGAATCCTCTGCCCTGAATACTAATGAACGTGCCTTCCAGATTTTAATTGTTGTTGACTTCTGATTTCCACCGCAAACAGTCGCTGACCTCTGTAGGGCGGGTTTCCCCAGTTTTCTTTTAATTTCTTTCAATTTGTTTTGTTTTATTTTGTCCTGATTTTCCCTATTTTATGCATTTTTCCCCCCACCTCCAATCACGGAGTCTCACTCCCGGTGGAAATCTTTCCAGCCAAGTTACTTTCCCCGGCAGCCGAGGCGACACCTCCCGCAACCCACCGCCCGCATCTCGTTTCCGTGAGACGGCGCAGCGAAGGCAACCGCTGCCGGGAACGGGGGGGGAAGCTCTTCCGAAAGGCGGTATCTCCACCTGGGCACCCACCTTTCGGCATTTCTGCTTCATCGCTCCCTCCATTCCTCCGCAGCTTAATGCTGAGGGTTTGGTTTTTTGTTGTTGTTGTTGTGGGGTTTTATTTTTGGTTTGTTTTGGGTTTTTTATTTTATTTTTTTTCTCTTCTCCAAAACCAGCAGTCAAACTGGAAGAGACATCTCTCTCCAAAAGCCTCCCCGAGTTTCCCAACTCTTCCCAGGCTGGATACACCTAAGGGTAGGCAAGGAGAGAAGGGAAAAAGCCTTTTTCTGGGAGAGAGGAGGCATCGCAGAGGCTCTTTCCCCGTTCCCCCGCAGAGCAGCCCGGCCAGGCAGGCGGAGAAGACTCTTTCAGGAGGGTTTTCGCTCCGGTGGTAAATGGTTAAGGATCAGTCGCTGCCCTGGCTGCCTCTTAGATTTTTTTTATTATTATTCTTTTAATATATATATAATTTTTTTCCCTTCGAGATGGTCAAAATTAGCTGGAAATCGGTCAGTGAAATAGTCATCCCCAAACACGCGTCTCAAGTTTCTGGAGCTTCGCGGACGACCTTGAGCAAGTAGCATCGACTATATAGGGGCAATTAGGTGTATCAGGCTGACATTTAAGAAAATGAGGGAGATATTAAAGCCCTAATTCCCGTCATTACAAATAATTTTCATGAAGCGAACTTCTAAAAGATTTTTTTTTCCCCCTTCCTTACACTTTCCAGTCTATTTTTTAACCCCTGAGTGATTTACTACGTAAGTAATTTTAGAGGATACAGTTTACAGCTTGAGTTATTAGACTGAACACCTCTGGCTGACACCACAACACCTTTTTTTTCTGCCTGCAGCTGTGAGTCACAACCCCATTTTCATACCAAACTGCTACACATTCCTTTACAATATAGACTTCCTTCTTGCAAAGATCAAACATGCTCCAGTCAACGTGTTTATTTTAAAATGCAGGAAAATTAAAACTAAACATGGACTTAAAAGAAAAAAAACAAATGCATCATTTCTTTCCCTGCTGTCCCTCCTCCTAAAATGAAATGAAATAAAATAAAATTAGGACGGAACGGCGTAGACCACTCCAATAAAATAACGCAGCGACGGAGCCAAAACGGTTGATTTCGATTGGAACGGGAACGGATCCTTCTGTTTGCCGTTATTTATTTATGTATTGTTGTGGCTATGGTTTTAATTATATGTGGGAATGTCAGGCCAAGACGCTGTAACCGTAGCCTCCCTTTAACACACTTTTCCTATTTGTTTAATGCCAGCGCTACAAGGCTAGAACAGG